TCTACCTAAAGGCTGCGTTTTAAGAGGAACAGATTTTAGAAAAGTGTTATGTTTTTAATCAGTGAAGCAAAGTCTAATTACATATTGCAGATAACTGCTTTTCAGAATATGTGTAAATGTTTGAATCTGCTAGTCGATTTTGCTACTGATGGAATAACCGTGGTACTGATCGTAATATTCGATGTAATATTATAAGCACAGTAGTTATCTTTACCTCGCTCAAGCCAACAATGATTGCAGTCCGAGGTGTAACCATTTCAAGAATGCGTTAGCTTTGGAATTTTAATTAACATGCTTGGCATCAATCTTGATCAATTCGATGCACGTTTCCAATTAATACAGCAAACAGTTAAAACAATTTAGAGAAACTAATGTACTTCTTTGTTATATCATAACACAGACTTAAATGCAGGTTTTACGTAAGACATTGGACAATGGGGCAGTCCCGTTAAAGGTAACACCGTGACGAAATATTGTTTTCTTTCAAATACAATGTCCAGAGCTATGCCTTCGGACATAACATCATCTGATGTGTTCCACTGTTAAAATCTGCGAAATGCTCAACCAGTAAATTCATACAACACACAGTATGGACCACAGCATAAAGCGGTCTCTCTCTCTCGCTCTCTATACATATATATATATATATATATATATATATATATATATATATATATATATATAGTGCCCTATGCTGATGCTGATGTTGCATTCATGATGCTTCTTCACCGCAGTTGGGCTAAACCAACTTACACTTTAGGTCTTTTAATGCGGATAAAATTCATTACATTTTATTTGGTTTGTTCTGCGTACTTGATAATATTCTCCCGAATTGTATACGTCACACATGCAAATTGTGGTAAACTTGCGTAACGTTATCGCGTGGTATCTTTTTAAATAACTCGGACATTTTGTACTTATCACGGATTCACTTATAACCGATTTCTTCTATATGATCATTTAGCGAGTATTTATGTCGTCATATGCGTTTACTTTATTCGATATCGGCATTTTGAGTGATTGGCTGTTGTTTGACATCCCCGGTGTGGCTGCGCTTGATGTGCATGTTGACAAGGTGCCTACCTGTCTATTACCCACTACCTCGTTCATACTGGCTCCAGGAGACAGTTGGTCGATGCTGGAGGGGACGGGATGCACGGTCCTTGTGGTCCTGTTAGGCTCGAAGAGTGGTTCCATGCACTCAGTGTGGAGCGGACTACGGTCCAGCCACCGCCTTGTGCGCACTTGATTCCCCAAATACAGCGTGCTTGTGTTTGCCTGTGAAGGAGTGTGGGCCGGCTCCGTTGATGAAACATGGCTCCCATGCACATGCCTCCCAGTCTTATTCCTTCGGGTTTACACCGGACATGGAGTGTGTGGATGGAGCTGTTGATGGTGCAGCTCAAGCCATCCATGGTCCCTCTGTAGGCGCTGGCGTCCTGTAGCTGGCCACAGTGAGAGGGAAATCCGAAACCGGATGCCGCCAACCATATATATATATATATATATATATATATATATATATATATATCCGATGGTGGTGTTAAGTGGGACTGGTGAATACGAAGGTTATCCCTTAAAAGTTCTCCGAAACTCATCTACGACGGCGCTCTAAAACTAAGTAGTTAACCAGTGTGGCTTATGAAACTACCTGCAGATGGTGACACCTAAAGGGACGCTGTAGTTGTTGAAGCGAAGCAATCCTCCACAGGTTGAAAAACGCGGGGCACCAGAAAAAGAGCCGTGCTACATGACGTCTGGTTTCTTGCTCTGTGCGGCTAAAGCCACCTTCACAGATTTAATGGTCTTAATCACTAAGATAAAAATGAAAGTCTAAAAGTTCCAGCCTCTTAACAGTCATTTGGAGTGGGCGAGACTGAAGGATCCCAAACGTACGAAGCGGTTTTTCTGGGCATGCGATGCTGTTTGACTAAGACTAGTTGAGATGACATCATTTTAGTATTACGTTATGGTACTCACTATCCCCAGTGAATGTAGTAGCCTCTTACCTCCGCTGACTTGGCAGGAACAATGAAAGACGTTTAACACTAGCAATTCAAATACACCTAATTAATAAGACGAACATAGTTTATCATATACGAATTAGGTCTTAAACAATAGACGGGAAAACAGATGAACCTTAAGGCAACTTCTGCATGTTTAACTGAAATATAACATGGAATACTAGAGAATGGCGCTCACTGAGCCTATACATTTATCTACAAACCTTGTTTGTGATAGCTAATATCATGTGTATCGTTACAATGGCGGGTCGACTACATTGGTAGCTTGTCACTTGTTTGGCTGAAGGGCTGTTATATTTAACTTCCAACAACTAGCAACTGCTATTTTCTCCTTATTCTGGTCCGTTTACCGTTACTGCTTGATAGCCTTTTATGGAATTCGGTCAGACCACCTGCCAACAACAATGCTTACCGTGTTTACGCTCCTTTGTTAAAGCAAAACAAAGTTATGGATATGAAATTAAGCCATGTAGTCAAACAGGCAATGGGGAATGGAAATCTTGACAAAAAGAAATATTATGGATAAAACGACAAGTTTCATGGCCCACACGGTAACAACAAGTGCTATTTTAAGCCATCCGATTTCGTAATTTTTATGCCAGCACCTAAGAACCTTTATTCAAGTAGTTACCATGTATGGGGCATTTCAATTTAAACTCCAAATCTATGTTATACGACGCGTGTCCATGCAAGAAAGAAGTTTAGCTGTAATATATTTAAAGCCCAATGTAAACATATTAAACACGTCCACCTTAAAGCATATTTTTCTAATTGCACTTCACCGTTCCAAATAGTGCTTCCATTTGTGGCAATCCGCCTTGAATGGACTTCCTGGAATGATGCGCAGTACTCGTGTCACATTGTCTTGGATTTCCTCTACGATTTGGAAGCGAGGTCCTGTCGATGTGAGTTTAATTTTTGGGAACGGAGTATATCTGCTGAAGCCAGATCCGAAAAATACAACGGATGGTGTACAATGGGATTTGATGTTTTGATGGATAGCTGCGGAAAACTAGCCAGGTGTGAGCCGGTGCACTATCATGATGTAACATCCAAATCCGCTTTTTACACAGTACACTTCTCATCATGCGCGCAGCACCTATCTCACGTTCCAACACTCCTTGTTTACCATCCGACAACATTGTAAAAGCTTTTGATGCACAATGCCTTTGCAGTAAAACAAAAGCAAAGCCACCTTGACCTTTGACAGACTCATGCGTGAGTCTTGCAAACAACGAGACCATTTTCCCATCCACTGTGACGACTGCACCTTCTTCAGAGTATCATAGGCATAAACTGACATCTCAACGCGTTATCAGTTCTTTGTTCTTGGCAGAGGCAAGCAGTTCCTGATCAATTTCAAAACGGATCTGTTTCTGATCATTAGTCTAATATTTTGATGAAACACGGCGTATTTGAAGTTTGCCAATCAAGAGTTGATGGCAAGATCCTACGCTGATGCTCACTTTGTCTACAACTTCTCTAGTAGTTAGATGACAATCTTGACGGATCGCAATGAGAACTGACTCAACAGGATCATCTTCTTTTGATGTGGAAATTCGTCAAGGTTTGGGATCGTCACCTATCCACATTCCACCGCATGCAAAACGGTTAAACCAATTATGACACTGAGTTAGACTCATACAGACCTCGCCATATGCTTGCCTTTGCAACTGAAAGGTCCGAACAATTTTTTCATAGTTTATAGCAAAATGTTGCATTCAGACGTTGTTCTTCAGACTCTTTCACTTCCACACTAATATCTTGAACAAATAGTGTACGTACTCATTTGAGTGCCTGTTCGCGGCAACTACAAGTCAATAAAATGCGGCAAATGACAGTTTGTTTTCTAAACATACCTCTACGCGCGTTCGTTGACTGCAGCGCGATGCCCCTAACTGTTGATGCGATATTTTAAAGTGCACACTATAAACACAGTATAAAATCCACTTTTTATTTAGGCTGTTTTGGTGTCTATGGATTTGAGTATGCTAATGTTGATTACCGTCTGGTAATCTTCAGTTTCGAGTGAACTGTAGTGCGGATCGGCTCTAATTACGAAGGATAATTTTCGCCAAATAGAAAAACCCGTCGATGGCCGTTTTATCGGCTTACCCGATGTGCAACATTGGTTCAGACCAACCAAGCTAAATTTTATTGCGTGTTAAGTTGAAGCAGATATAGAACTGAGCGTCGAATCCTTGATACCGTGCCGATAATCATACCATCGAAACACACTAATACTAGCTGTTGGTTCCAGTATCCTCGAAGTTACCCATAGCTTTTGAGATGTATTCTTGAAGCCCTTTTTAACAAGCCATAAACTGGATAAACTTTAGAAAGGACTTCATTTTGTATTAAGCGCCAACACTTTGACTGGTTTCGTCCTCGTACGGAATCTTGCAGTAGAAATAATTTGAGCTGATTGGAGAGCTGAAGGCCTGATATGTGAAGACTGGCGCCTTGATCACTAGGCCAATAAGATCCTTGAGTAACCCTTGGCCTAGCCTAGCGTCCGGTTAACTCTCTGTTTCTAAATTTTCAAATATTATAAATCGTCTTTAATCACACTACTTACCATTAATAAATATGTAAAGGTTTTTCATTCAAACAGCTTCCTATTAGTTGTATGAAGAGCTTCCAGAATTGAGGTCTCTCAACAGTCAAAACCAAACCTCAACCGCTGAAATAAAAATGTACTGCCAAATTACATTATTCATACACTGCGGTTATGGCAGCTCCATAAGCTACATTGTTTGTATAGTTTTTAGAATAAGCTGAAGACCAATTTTAAGCGGCATATATCACACTATGTAAGAAAATGTGTAGGTAGTAATTTCCAGATCAATGGATATTCTTGTCGAAGTCAATTGTTAGATATTTGCAAAAGTTTCTGCTGCAGTATTTCTTGTCTCATGTTTGCAATAGGCATCACCATTACAGGAACACTGGGTACCTTTTATCTGTTTCCACCGTTCATCCCACTCTGGATACGTTATGGTCATTTTGATTGGATTTGATATGAATCTGCTCTTCATACTCTGCAGCCTGAAGCTGCGAATTCGCATCTGTAGTCTGGCAATTCGATTGATTAACTGTGCGCATAAATAACCCATTCATGGACGACTCTAAAACTTCGTCCGCCATAATTACTTCCTCCTCACTATGTGTGACAGAACCAGTCTTGGAAGCTGATCCTACGTCTTGGTTGTAGGGACTCCCGGCCGTGATTTCGAGCACATCGTTATCTTCGTCCAGCCGGAGTCGTTTAAACTTTGTTCGTCGATTTTGGAACCACACTTTGACCTAATGTGTAAAAAAAAGAAAAATACTAAGCTCTTGTTACTAGTTAGTTGAATGATTCGTGTTCGTTCAGTGCGCAAGAAGGCTTAACAATCGATTGCATCTTTTGTACACATTTGCGTTTCTTAACGATTTCAATAGGTTCTACTATGGACAGCTAAAAAGAGAACGTTTCTACGCTTCACTGTTTGAACGACCTCAGCTACTTTTGCCACTAATGACATTTGGATAGAAAAGCACCACTAGTTGAGATGGATGTGCAAGGCAGATTTTAATGTAACACGAAACATTTATCAGCCTGGTAAGCCTTACTGGTTATCATGCGCATAGATCGCAAAACATCTGCTGCACAATTGTAAACCGACATGGCTAATGAGTACGTTCCCTACATATCCCGCCAGATTGTCGAAGTCCGGCGGGATATTGAACAGCATAGGCTAGCATAATGACCTTCCTCCACTTTGCGTTCGCTTACTCTGCTTACTTCCGTTCGATAAAGCAATAAAGATCGCGTGTCACAAGCGAATGCATACAAGACGGCGTAAATAGGGTGGCGGCACATTTGGAATAAAAAAGCAACCGACGATGAATCATTAACTACAAATCGTGTATATTTATTACTGATAAAGAAAAGTTGATAACGTGTTCCGGAGAAAATGAAACGTTCTGCATGAGGACTGCATCGGATCTACATACAAAATACATGCAACCCTTAGGGTGCGGTTCTGACTTCCAGTGACGAAAACATTCGATGGAGAAACTCGTATATGAATCAATCGCTTCTCAAAATGTCCTGAAGTTCTATGTTAGTGCACCCTAAAGCATTGAGGATACAGTATTTGGTTTGCTTCGGGTAAAGTATTAAATGTCGAAACTGCAATTAATTATCTTGATGTATTCCACGTGGAGCGGCCTAGACGCACAGTGCATACTACTAAAGCAAAGGCGTGCCGATTTGAAACACGAATTGTGATCCAAAGTCAAACTATAACTTTGAGGTGAAAAATGTCTTTCCACTTTTAAAAAAAATTACACGGTAATAGAAATCATTTTTAAATCTTTGTTCGGTAGGAAACATCTCGCTTTACGTATTTCGCGGATGGAAACGGACGCATCTTGCCGTCTACACCTCAATGCACTTGTGACAATTTACATCAAGAAGGTTAAACGAAAACTTCTTTTCTTTAACTGTGAAACAAATCACATACTATTGAAATAGTAAGTTAAAGTGTGACTATAATTCAAGAAGAATTTAAAACGAACTTTTAAATCTTCCTTGAAGATCCAATGGACAATAAATCAAGAGACTATTTAAACAAAATCCAAGTGAACTCTTTATCCTTACAAACTAAGGTTTTGACAGAGTAAACTAATGTTATTGATGCACTAGTTATAGTCTTTGCTAAGCATTTGTTTGATTATTATGAAATGGTTGAATAGCTGTCAAAAGCATAGAACTTTGAAGGAGGCCTCCTTCAATAACTGTAGCAGTTATTGCGATCACAACGCTCAAAGTGTTGTCTCCCAGCGGCGTTTACCCCCGTTTGAGGCGTTCTAAAGTAAACCATACAGGTTACTCGGTGCATTTTTCATAGGCAACATTTTCAAACTGTAGCTCACTAGAATCTGTAATGACGATCAAAATAAGCAAAAAGGAACGGATTTTCCGATAAGCTTAGGTATGCCGTACAGAAAAACAAGAAACTATTCAAGTGCACTTTGCTTACAGAAGCGTTATCGGAAAACCAGATGCCATGGTGTGGCCAGGCAATATGTATGCGGTTCCTTTCCTCAGTGAAGTAAAATTAGCTGCCAAAAACCTGCAATGTTTTATTTGAATGGTTTGAGCATTTGTCGGAACCTCAACCAAAACTTTCAGTGTTACACACTAAGGTTCTGGGAAACGCCTTGTTATATGTGTTTTAAAATATAAGAAGTACGTCTACCAACGGATCTAGTAAGCTTATTAACCAACTTTGTATAAATTAATTCACATTACCTGGCCATCATATGTTTATTCATACAGGGAGGTGCCACAAATATAGTACAATTCTTTGCAAACCTGTCCGCCAAATGCAAAGTGGAAGTGTTCGCTCATTAAAGATTCCGCCCTAAGTGGCCTTTGAAAGATATGTCTTCCATGGTTATATATAACTTTTATCATACAATAGTCAAATGCTTGCGAACTATGATTGTTAACCTTGCAGTACCCGGCGCCTTTAACGATATATCTTTAAACGTCAGCATACTGTCTCCCGATTTACACAGAACAGCAGCACTTTACGCATTTCTATAGTTATTGGAGAAATTTCTTGTTAACTACCCATGTCGCATTGATAAAAGTGACTTGAGCTAAAATTGTACACCCTTACTAGGTTGATGTGCCTCACACAATGAGGAATGATACCAGATTACATGTTTTAATTATTTAATTAATCATCTTCTTTGCAACCTGTGATTTTGGTAAACTTCAACCGCTGATGTCAATCTGGTTGCTGGTGTACAGTGAATTCATCTGAATAGCTAAAGTAGATAAACGAAATTTCATTTTCAAGACGATGTTTCCCATACTCGAAGCAATTCAAATAAAAATAGACATTGGTTGCAATTCAGCAACCAGGAAATACGTTAAATTTTGATGATCAGGACCAACTTTTTAAACTAATGGGTGCAGATTTATTCACTACCGCTTTCAGAGTCATGTTTAGTGTAATCTAAAGCATTATATCGGCAGGTGATATTGGAAGTCTCAGATTTAACTTTGGGTCTAGTCATTGTTTGTTTAGTTACCTAACCTATGTTCAGACTCCTTTGAGCGCATCATGGAGAAAGACTGACAAAATTGCTCCATTTATAAGAATTTCCGTTTATCCAAAATTTATGCAGAAGTAACCGCTTTACAGTCCTAGTGCATGGAAAATTTAGAGTACTACATACACAGCGAGGACTAAGCTTCCAGTGGTCTGGTAATATGCTGGATTACCTATCGGTTTTCAGAATAATATCGAAATTTGGCACAAAGGGGATATAGAACAATAGTGGCAATCGCTGTCATGTCTGTTACTTAGGAGGTGTAGGCAGTTGGACACTAGACACGTAAGTAATGTATATTAACATGCTCGCTTCAGCTTATCAAGTAGGCGTTTTAATCCTAGTGCTGATTAATAGCCCAATAGATTGTGACCTGGCTCACCTGTGTCTCAGTCAGTCCGAGATTGGAGGCTAGTTCTTTTCTTTCATGTCCAACCACGTAGTGGTTTTTTTCAAACGTGCTCTCAAGTTGATACAGTTGTTGCGGTGAGAATGCCGTACGAATCCGCTTCGGTTTTGGTATCTCGGCAGGGAAGCAGAGGTTAGAGTTTGCTGAGGATGCGAACAGTGGATCTGCGAACAAGAATCAAATAGGAATACGCTTTACTACCAACACAACTTCAGAAAGCTCTTAGACGCTCTACCTCGTTAAAGGACACTGTAGTGCACGGAGAGGATAATCCATTCTTGTATAGAGTAAATGCAAAAGAAAGATAAGTAGAGTGGACTAATCCACATTAGGAAGCACACTACCTTGAGTCGCATACATTAGATAAGACTGCGGAATAATTTTCTTCAATATGTTGAATTTCAGTGATGGCTGTGTCATCTAGAACCTTCTTGTCAATAAGTACAACATGGCAAAATTCAACAAATATTTATCAGTAAGTACTTTTCTCTTCTTGTTTAATTTACGAAAATATTGATAGGTTGGCTAATAGTTCAATAGTTGGTAATACTTGATAGGTTAAAAGCGACTGCTTTAACTGACCCACTGGATGGAAAATGCAAATAAATCCAAAAAGAAAATTCAAAGTGTTCCGTTGCGGAACGTAGAACACCAGTAGTCTAGATATTACACGTTACCATACTGTTGTGTAGCGTTTATTGTTAAGTCTGCTAGATTTTAGAATGCCACAATGTTTGGTGTGTACATTCTAAGTAGTAGCAATGTATTCCAGTGAGAACAGCTTCTAAGAGTATAAAAACACTTCTACAATCCAAACTGGTGCTGCATTATTGATTTCAAATGCTAGCCCTATAAAGCTTGTGTAATGGGCTAGGGTCAGCAATGATTTACTTGAGTGCTTGATCTCAGTTAGTATAAGGTATTTTAGCATTAGGTCTCCGCGAAGCCTTTGAAATACTGAGGAGAGTACATCGAGCAAAAGAAGGCGCATTTCATATCTGAGAACTGGTAGCCCACCTGATGCCTTGGTGGCTGTCTTTGGTGATGTATTATGTGACGAGTATCTCGTGTTTACTGTGGCCACCAAACCTGAACAGTATATTCAACCTGTGGACCATTATGCAAGTTAATCAGCAAGGGTATTAGCGTTTGCGCAAACACACCTAGAGTTCACCGTAAAAAGCATAAGTTTGTCACATTTATTACTTAGGAACATTAAAGCAGATCGGCAATACTTTACTTATGAGGATAATTAAGCCACTTTCACTAGTCATGTGTAGTAGAAGATATTGCCGTAGTGAGTACTTGTTGATGAACCCGATGCTAACCTTCAGCAGTAGGGACTTTGTCCTGTGATTATAACCAACGCATAGACATGTTTTTCTCTTTGTGGTTCCTTTTACGTGATGCAACGAGTACATACTTGGAAGCATTCAAAGTTCATGTACACTTCCGTTTCTTTTGAGAAACTTTCCAAAATCCCAATATGTTAGTGAAAGTTAGAAGACGGCTATTATTTAGCAGGATAGATCACCTGGGCTACTTCCCTAGGTTGAGGGAGCTGCTGCACCTTCGCTCACCAAGAAGCCCACGCGGACACCGGTACAAACTAGGAGTACCGGGTTTAAAGCGCATCGCTCACTATCTAAGCCTCGCGTATCGATTGCTGAATTATTAGAACAAATTGCTTAAGACGCTAATGGAGGCGAAATCGGTGTCTGAATTTTAGAGATTCTTTGACGCCCACTTTGCGGACTACAGGTATGGGGAGCATATCGCACCCGGATAAGATGTAGTGCAGCTGCAATATGCTGCCAACGCGCTGAAATCAGAGACCTGATTCCACGAATGTGCCTGATTCACTCATGATGAAACAACACCGATTTTTATGTTCATCCTCTCTAATCTCAGTATTTAGTATTCAGTAAAGAGTGAAAACGGGAAAACAATCTATTACGGTCCTCTGGTTTCTGCCAAATCTTCGCACATTTCGTAGAAGGAACGTAAATTATCCCATCCCTGCATTTTCCCAGGCGATATTTCTAACGGCACTACTAAAACTGAACTGGTGATGTAGAGCTGTCTATAGCTGCTTTTTTATTGTACATCTGGTACGAATCCAAATGCTACTAATCGGTTCCGCTGTCCTTGATCCAAAATCCGTCTCGTAGTAAGTTTGTAATGTGGCCGGATTAACCACATACTCCAGTGTATAATCACAGAAGCCACCGAAGTTTCTAGGCATGGAATGGGTTGCGCATTCTAAGCATGCGAATAGTACCGAGATGCTAAGGTTAAATTTAGGAACATACCGACGACACTCCTGAATTTGGAGTAGGGAAGAAACTTGCAATACACATGAGAACAATGCGGTTCTTGCTCAAAAGATGTTTTGAACTCCGGAGTACAACGTCCTTCTATCTAACTCAAGAAGTCTGATTCGGTCGAGTGCAAACTACTTTGTCTGACAAGGCCAGCTTAAATTGTTTCACATTCCACAACAAGAACGACTAATTCTATTTATGCTTACTCTGGAAAGAATGGTGAGGTTTAGAACGTCTGCCTTTAATAGCCGATGTTATCAGTTCTTTGCAGCTGAATGTCTCGTCCGATCTCAGATTTAAACAACCACAATGCTATGGGATGAATGCAGTTCCGTTGAAAATTTCACTTGCCGGTCATACAAGTTGTATGACCACTGATAACCTTTCGGGAGGCAATCAAGCTCTTTGTCGCCCAGTGTTGAGGATCTCGTACGTAGCTAAGAGAGCATATCTACAGTTGTGATTAATATTTCATTAAAGCCTTGATAATAATCTCTGTTTAATTAACAACTATGGTCCATTTATCTACATAAAGTTTGGTTCCCTTCAGGTGTCAGCATAGAGTTAGGGAAATAATGCATCTTTTATACGAGCCGAGGAATAAAAGCATTTTTGTGGCATCTGAAATAATAGCACTGCTGGTATCAAGTTGAAGTATAACTACTGAAGATAGCTAGAAGGTCTACAACTGTGTTGTTACATCGATCTACCATCTGGCGCGGAAGCGGAATAACGTCGTTTATTACCGCGCTGTTCAGCGTATGTAGACTGTACGACGAACTACTCCGTTGTGATGCACCACCAAAATCTGTACTACGGAAAGTAGCTCCAAAGAGGTACTATCATTCCGATAACGAATTTCTTCTGAATATTTTCCCGAGCAATCTGTTTTCATAATTTACCACGACTTTTGAATCATAGAACTTGAACTACTATCTTAAGGTGGGGTGTCACACTGTTGGATCCGTGCGTACGAGTGCTTTTTGGTGCGCACGTATGCAGGTGAGGTCATAGCATGAGAAATTCAACCAGTGTTATTATCCGACGATCGTCTCGCCACTTTGGGGCTCGTTAGGGAATGCATTTATTCTTCCGCCTTTCAGGAAGCCTAACTGTGATCATTAGCAGTTGGACCAAACTAACGATCAGCTTGTACACCTGAACCACTGAGAACAAAACCACTTATATTAGTCCAAGAAAATACATTGACAGAGCAATTTTACACAGACGTACAACCTATGGAAAGGCAATATAAGAATTTCGTGAATGATCCATGCCAGTATTTTGGGTGGTAGCATACAAACAAATGGTTACACTGCGGCACAATGAGTAATTCCCGAAAGATGCTAATACGAGGGAAAAATGTAATTTGTGGAAAGGAAAAACTACTCCTTTTTATTTTCCCACAAGACAATACGAGACAGCGACGCGTAAACGAAGCTTGGCTATAGTTGTAAACTAGCTGTTAACTACTGTTGTGGTAGTTTTTTTCCTGTTGCCTAGGTTCTCTATGTTGCTTAATCGGTATGCGTTCATCACTGATCTGGAATTATCGTGTTCTTTTTGTTCCAATATTTTAGGTTACCAGCTTGCAGTGGTCATCCACTTCCGAAATTAAAAAGCTTACATATACAGCTGCTAAAGTAAAAACCCATATACGTCCCCTTTCTTACTACTATTCTGCATAAAGCCACATAGTAAGTATAATTTTAGCCGAAATTAAATGTCCTGTTTTGTAAGTATGATTGCAGCTTTAATGTTTTTCTTATCCATAAGCAATTGCTCTTCCTTTATCACTCTGTGTCCATCCGGAGCTATGCATTGGACAGCCATGGATGCTGAAGACACGATCTTTATTTCCGCATGGCAACTAGAACATGTTGGAAATATTAAGTGAAGCGACAGCAGGCTGTACCCACGGAAGCCGCGGATTTCTGCATGGCAGTGTTAGATTCCAATTTTGTTTCCGGATTACTGTGTAACAGGTGTTTTTCTGTGTGAATTTTACACCAATATTTCTTGGTGTATTTTACAATCTGTGCAAATTTGCGGAATATTCTCTACCGACTTTGGGATATCTCATTGATTGGCCTAACCACCATCATGGTCTCTATCCTGGATTTCTTCTACAGTAATCTAACCTGTGTGGGTCAGTCAGGTGACCCCAGGCGGAATTGGCAGCAACCATCAACCTCGACAATTGCAACTGTGAATTTATGTGAACTAACATCAACCGGAACCAACTCCTACTGAACCGATAGCGCAAAACTACAAACCGGATGGTTTGCATCGAATTCGTTTATTTTTGCATTGACACTTTCCCGTAGCTCAAGCTCTTAAGACCTTGATTAAACCACTTATTTTCGTCCACCTTCCCTAGCCACTTCATATAGCCTTCTCCTCAATATAGCTTATCTTATTATAACATCCACAAGGCCTAGCCTCACTGGACAAGCCAAAATTAGTGTTTCATACACCGCACGAACAATACCAACGAAAACTGAGGCCTTGACCAAACTGCGAGCAAGTCCTACTCCCATTGCTACTGTTCTTACAAAACTCAGTAGTGAGGTCAACTCCTTGGAATACCAACTCTCCAAGATGAGAAATATAGTAACCATCCTCGAAGCAATCCGAGATCACTTGATTACATTAGACTATCTCAGTAACCCATGGGAAAGCCTTGATCCAGCCCGAATGGGAAAGGCAGGACAGTTGATTGATTCAATTGCGTCTGAGTTAAATCAACAAGGGCATAGACTGAAAAACGTGGTCTTTTTGGCCATTCCGGATAGACTTGGTTTGGATAAAGTTAAAACTGTAGTACTTACGGTCTGCAATATGTCTGCGATTGATTGCGACTTCCTTCGTCAGAAAAAGAAATCGCATAAACACTGCTGCCCCATCGTTTTTAAAATTCCTACTGAGGATTTCGCGAACCGATTGTTGAGTAATCAGCTCACTATTGCCCAGCGCACCCAAGTAAAAGACCTATTGCTTTAAACAGATCGCAAGACTCTACAAAGATCCCTTAGTGATATTACGTCACAATCACTAGCGCAAACGGTTATTTGGCTTGTGGTCTCAGACCAAAGCTAAAAAGGGAATAATTTATCAAATGTGGCAACTATGCATCTTGCTCCTGATGATAATCAATGTCACCTAAGCAAATACCTACTAACTACTACCTCCCCAATCTTGAGGCCTATGAACCAACTGAATTAAATACACCGTTCATAAAGAATGGTGTAAGTTCTAACTCTTTGAAAGAGCTGACTATCAATCACCCTGTAGCTGTGTTGCAAGCTGGACACAACGCCATGGGCAGTCAATCCAGTGATGTAGAAAACTCCCAACCACTCACCGGATCTAACAAAAGCTTTAGGCTTGCGATGAAATTGGTAGAAATTAACAAGACCTATCAACATACATCGCAAAAACACTTTAGAAAGCAACATCCTGAGCCCGAATTACCAGAAACAAATGTCTTTTTTATGCCTTACGTCATAATTTCCTTCCATACCACAAAAATCAATCTCAGTAATGATAGAATATATTATGTACAGGAGGAAATGGAGCCGCGGCCATTCCCACTGCTTGCATGCCCGACAGAAACCAGTCACCTGTTCCCAGTGTTCCTGCTATTTTCGCAGATGAGTCGGCTGGCCAACTGCCACGCCAATCGCAAATTTTACCTGCTCCCTCAACCACCTCCATGTCCACAGCAACATTTGCAATGATAATTGACATAATACTCATATTAACACGCCTATTAAGAGTAGAACGGACCCCACAATACGTCCACAATACCTGACTACAACAATGGGTATACCATCGAACCGCAACACGATGACCCCACACCCAATGGTCCGTTTTCTATAATTCTACTTAAGGCCAGATTAATTAAAAACAAATTGTACTTCCAAGGCATGCTTGCGCATATCAACGACCCACAGGCTATCCTCTTTACTGAAACTTGGTGCTCCCCCGATACATTAGACTCCACCTTAATGATTCCAAAATAACAGCTCTTCCGAAAAGGTCGCGGCACAGGCAAAGGAGGTAGATGCATGGTATACCTACACCGCATATTTGCAGCAAAATTTCTT